CCACTGCCCGAACCCAACTTTAGCATCCCTGTTCCTTTTCATTTATCCTAGAGTAAATGAAGAGAAGGGAAGGCAGTGAACTGAGAATGAAGGAATTTCTGTAAGGGAGATCTTATAATGATGATTCGCAGTCCTGTCTGCACATGGAAATCGCCTGGGGAGCTTTAAAAATGACGTTTGGGTCCAACCCCCGAGATTCTGATGCCATTGATTTAGTCTCCCAATTAATGCTTCTTAGGCTTTAATGTGCATAGGAGACACCTGGGACTCTTGTTAAAATGCAGATTTTGATTCGGTTGGTTTGGAGTGGGGCCTGGAAATCTGCATTTTAACAAGCTCCCAGGTGATGCTAACACTTCTGGTCTGTGGACCACATTTTCTGTAGTAGGGATCTATCAGAGAGATTCTTAGACCATCAGATTCAACATCATCCAGGAGCTTGATAGAAATGCAAATTCTTGGGCCCCACTCCAGACCTACTAAATCCAAAACTCTTGGGTGAAGCCCCAAAATCTGTTTTAGTAGGTCCTCCAGGTGATTCTCATGCAGGCTGAAGTTCAACTGCTGACCTAGAGAATTAGAGTGGGGAATAAAAAGCCTGAGGGAAGGGGGCTGGTATTCACTCTAAGGACAAAGTAATGAACCATTGCGGGAGTGAGACAGGAGCAAAGAGCAAGCAGGTTCTGCCCTATTTGCGTTCCAGTGGGGAACAGGCATAACTATTACAGTGAAAATTTTCAGACTCGTTACAACTTTGAAACTTCCATGAACTCACTTCTTAAATCTTGTTTTATCCCCCTATCATCACAAGTGGTAGAAATCCTTAGAACATTTTCGAGACTTGCACACTTGCTGCGAGGAGGAGAGAAAGGAGATGTAAAAGTGGCTCCTCCCGCTACTGGCCTGCCTGAGCCCCGGGCGTGGGGTGGGGTTGGGGGTGGAACAGAGAATGTGGGCAGCACCGAGGCACCTGGCCTTGGAATCAAGGGTAGGGAAAGGGCACTGGTGGGTATCGGGAGGTACTGAAGCTGCTCTGACTGCTCCAGCATCCCCACTCTGCCCCACGAGTGTCCCAGGCGCAGGGGATGGTACATGATTGGTCCTGACTGGTCTCCCAGTGCCAGCTTTCCCCCACCCCCGCTGTCTGTTTTGCAGGCTGCAGTTTGGGTTACATCAGTGCCCTCCCGTCCCCCTCCTTCGCAGAGGCCCTTCCTCTGTGCCGATCAGCCCTGGTTCACTCCTATCTCATGCTTTTATTTGTGCTGCCGGTGGCTCTGCTGACTCAGCCTCTATCTCTATCCATCTACTGGGGCAAAGACCCCATCTCTGCACTCATAGCCAGTTTAGTTCAGTGCACGTTGTCCCCTGGGCAGGAGAAGCTTAGTGGTTTAAGACACGACCTCTGCCCTCGGGGAGCGTGTTACAACCAGTGGAACCAGCCATGACGATGGAACATGCCCTGGAAGATTCCCACAGAATATCGCCTGTCTATCCACCCTCACTCAGATCTCCGGTCTGGCTGACACTTTTAGTCCTTATTAGACAGGTGCCCACTGTTCTTTAAGAAGTGTGTGTTGTTTTCCTAGGAAGGCAGCGAGTAAAGCCTGCTTCTCCCACCTCTTCAGCCTTGACAGAGCCAGGGGCACGTGGGGCGACTGGCCGCAGAACAGCCCCAGGGTGCTCCACGAGGATGCGACCGTGTTCCTGGGCTCCTAGGAGAGGAAACGCTGGTTTGGAAGGCTGCTCAGAGCCGACCAGGGCCTCTGCAATATTTACAGGTCGGGATCTTCAGAAAGTCAGCTCACCATGAAAAATTGCATCATGTCTATGTTTAAGTAAAGCTACTTTTAAAACTCTAGACCTGTACAACCATGAACAGTTATATACACAATGCGTGCACACAGTGGCAAATATTATTATGACATAAGTAGAGGGGGTCAGGAGAGAGCCTGTTGGAACTTTTCAACACCATGAACATGCTGCTTGCGTGTCTCCTAGAGAACCCGGCACTAGGGACTCTGAGATCCCAGGCAGCCCTTTGAACATTCCTCCAGAAGTGGAAATGTCCCACATAGAAAAGAGGAAGAGTGTCTGTACGGATAGCATAAATCTGATATTCAACACTTCCGTCTGATATGAGTGCTTTTATTAACCGTGAGCTGGATCTGTGGTTAGTCTAGATGACACAATTACACGATTCAAACAAAAAATGCTATTAGAAGTTGATTGATTCTGACGCCATGCCACGGACTGGTTTTTCCAGTGTATTTTGTCATACACTTCTGGCACTTTCAGCAGTTGCTTGGTCATTATTTGCCCAGTGAATGAATGAAATACAAACCCTCCTTCAAGGTTGGCAACTCACCTAACAAAGTGATTTGGCCTGCAGAAGGGAGACGGCTCAGAGAAGTTGCTGGAATGCCAGCACGTACCTCTGTCCGGGTGGAGGGAGGGACTGGGGCCCAGCTTCATGACACCACCCTGGGGAGAGGAGGAAGGGCCAGGACCGAAAGCTACAGCACTCCTGCGGAGGGCTCTGTCCGTCTCCAGTGATCCCTGACTTGGCCACCCTCTTTTACAGCCAGTTGTCAGTGCAAGAACGGGCCGCTCTGCTGGTGCAGGAAACAATTTTAGACTTAGAGCAACTTTTCGAACATTTGTGAGTGACCATGACTGTAAGAATATATTTTATTTTGTGAACCAGGAAAGACACCAAGCAAAACATAAGTGAAAAAAAAAGTTTCACAGCACGTTTCCCTTACTACCTGTGAGTCAGTGACATTCTCTATTCTATACTTGTCCACTCTGTTCCATTAAAGAGAAGTATGACACATTACGCTGATTTCACAGGGATCCTGCAGGAAGGGATGGGCTGTAGATCCTCCATCTCAGAAACCCAAGGCAAAGGGAAAGGGGACCCCATGCTCACGCCTGGGAACATGCTTAGGTCCCAGGAAAGTGTGCTGTAAACTGTTGAGACCCGAACGAGAAGCCTCAATAGCAGAGGCCTTTGCTTCTACATCTAAAATACACAATTATCAGTAAGGTTCTTCGCTATGACCTTTCCTGGGGAGGAGGCTGCTTCTGACTGCTCCAGAGAGGGATTCCCATGACAGAAAGACTGTGGGTGGCAGCAGCTCCAGCGCCTCCCAACTCAGTGCTACCAAGCAGAGACGTGGCCCGTGGCTCTGAGATCCCTACGTAGGTGTCCCCCAAAGTGCGCCTCACTCCATGAAGCCTTAATAAGTGTTTTTTGGGGGGGAGAAGAAGGGGAGTTGGTTCTGTGATAAAATAAGTCAAGGAAATTCTGGGTGAGATGACAACTTCTTGGAGCCTTGGACACATTATGTTGTGTTGTGACCAGGGGAGGGGGTGCAGAATGTGGTGTTTTTCTAACATATTTGCCACAGAACCCTTTTTTCAAATAATCCCTGCAAATCTGCAGAGCACAGTTTGAAGAATGCGTCCCCCAGTGACTGCTATCAGCTTCTTGCACTAGCTGGGACAAAAGGCAGACAGGGGACTTCTTCACTCCTGCACAAGTTGAAGACAGGCCCAGGGACTTAGGATACTTCTCTTGTATTTGGCTAATAAAATGAGAAAGCCATAGAACTTTGTCAGCATGTCATACAGACCCTTGTTGTTTATGTATTTGTCACTTGTAGTTTTAACTATTCAAAAGTGACCACAAAAGTGACATGTCTGTGATGTGAAGTAATTTAGAAACTCGCTGAAGCTGCCCAAGCAGTGAGCTGCGAAGCAGAGAGTCACAGAATGGCTGAGGAAGCTGGGCCGACTCTCCAGCTTCCAAGTCTCATTGTGACTTGACTTCTATTTGTTCTTGTAACTCTCACGAGGTTATATTTTATAGCATTATATGCTTTTCTGGTATATGTGGAGTTGAAGATTCATGAAGATCTCAGGACAAAATCCTCATCAATATCAAGAATCCACTGTAATCTAGGTTTGAACTTTATCAGTCTGAAAACTGGAAAAAGGTCCCATGTACAGAGGAGCAAGTTGTGCCCCGTCCACCCCCAGGGGGCCCCATTCATACAGACTGAGCCCTTTGTAGTGGGACACAATAGCAGCCCTCTGAAAACACATTTATGTTTTAAACTGTAAAAAACAAAACAAAGTTATGGAGTCGTTGGTCAGAACGTCCAACCCCTTCTCCTTCAGCCTTGACTAAATCCATTCACTTGGGTTTTCAGTAAGGGAGCACCTCAGAGTGTGAGGGGGTGAGGATCTTAAAGACTGGATGCAGACTCGGTCCCACCCGCTCCTGTTCCCAGATCTAAGGCTCAGACTCATCACCAGTCAAACAGGAGTGGTGACAATACTCATGCCCCCAACCTGAGGCGAGACAAGGCATATGGTGCCCGGGTTTGCCTCATGGCCAATGGCACAGGGAAAGCCCCACGGGCAGTCTCAGGAAGAAGTGGGTTACAACAGGGCGTTGTGCCTGAACTTTAAGATTTGCTCTGAGCCTGGAGACAGGTGGGACCCCTGCACACTGGAGCCTACCCGCAACTCCTTTTACTTGCTTCTAGAAGTTTTCGCTGCCATTTACAGGCATTAAATAATTTCTTGAATCAAAACTCTCACTGTCTTGGTTCCTTGCATATGCACCATTATACTGATGATATCTAAAATATAAAAACAAAATACGGCCCTGATCTCTGAGACGACTTTAGGCGGTACCTCTCTGTATCACATAACCGTAAAACGAGCAATCACATTTCCAGGGAGTAGGAGAACGAAGACTGACAACGCCTTTCCAGAGCACATTTTGTGATGTGGGATTTCACAAGGCTAACTAAAATGAACGTCCCTTAGGAGGTACGTGGAAGAGAAACTGGAAAGATCGATGCTCTTACATTTCATACCTTGGTTAAAAAAATAATCACGCTGACAATTTCTTAGCCAGCTTGTAAAATTTCAGCCGCACTTTCCGTTCTTCTTAACAGGTCCCTTCCCTCTTTTCAGTGGTTATTTCTCTACAGACCTGTTTTCCCGGAAGTCCCAGAACTGTGGGAGGTGGTGACCCTTGTCTTTACGTTAGTGCTCGTCTCTGCGTCGCCGGCTGTGTCTCCTCCAGCGTTTCCCCGAACGTCCCCCGCAGCGTCCCTGCTGCCACAGAAACCTCTTGGCCTGGACCGTCCTGTGAGCAGCAGTTTACAGGCCGCTGCTCTATACTTCTTTGAGATGAGGTTGTACAGGATCGGGTTGATGGATGCGCTCAGATAGAAAAGTTGCAGAGCAACAATGTTAAAGTACTGAGAGAAATGCATCGTCCGGGAATCTTCCGTATTTATGTAAATGATCCTGCCAACGTGGAAAGGCAACCAGCAAACTACAAATGCCAGAACCACCACCACTGCAAAACAAGACACAGGAACCGGAATCAGCAAAAGCGTTCGAAATCAAATCTGCGATAATAAGTAAGAGCAAATAAATCAGATTAAACTTTTACCTAGCCAGATCCCCACCCCAGGAAAACTACCAGGCTGCAGATTGCGTCGATACTGGCTTTAAAACTGCCCATTAGGCTCATATGTGTGTGACCACGGCTGGACAAAACCCAGAAGGAGCAATTCCTCTTAACAAGCCGTTGGCAGGCTTCCTTCTACAAACCCGCTTCAGAGACATGGTCTCTCTTCTCCGTTAAAAAGAATTCTGCGACAGGTCTGCGCAGGCTTTTGCTTTCTTTTTTTTTTTTTTGGCAGCTGGCTGGTACATTGATCTTTATTAAACATTTTTTTTCTGACTCTCAGTAACATGATATATGTTCAGTACAAACATTAAAACATTTTAAAAGTTTAATTAGGAAAATAAACATTCCCAATAATCTCATCATCAGAGATAACTTCTTGAAAAGAATTAAAAAAAAAAAAAAAAACCCCAAAAAGTTTTTTTTTTTTTTTTTTTTTTTTTTGGGGGGGGGGGGGAGGGGAACCGGTAAGGGATCGCAAACCTTGGCTTGGTGTCGCCCTCACAGCGCTCAGCCAGTGAGCGCACCGGCCATCCCTATATAGGATCCGAACCCGCAGCGAGAGCCGCTGCGCTCCCAGCGCCGCACTCTCCCGAGTGCGCCACGGGGTCGGCCCCAGGCTTTTGCTTTCTGAAATGGACAGTGGTTCACTTTAGCCTTCAGGATAGCATTAAACAACAATTTTAGCTTCATGCAATCTACAATCTACCGGCTTTTCAAGGGCAGTGTGAGCGTTCCACATCTGCCGCATCCATCAGAAACAGGACAGTTGCATTAAGAGCCTCCAGTTATCCACCCTGGATCCCAGCGGCTTTGGTATCCCACCCTCTGGGGCGCCCGGGGTCCTCCAGAACTCCTGGGGCGCAGGGGATGGTTTTCTTTAGAATCATGAAATACAGGCAGGTGGAGGCTGGAATGGAAATACAAAAGGAAAAGTAGCTAGAGGAGGCGCCGAGGCCTGGCGAGCAGGGGCAGGGGACGCAGAGCTCGCGCGGCCCCCGTGGCGCTGCCGACCGCGGGCGGCGTGTTCGGGACAGAGGTGGCGCCACTTACGGAGGACGCGGACGGTCTGCCGGTGGCCCTTTTCCCGTCCGCGGGCGGCCGGGCCTCG